AACCAGTTTAAAGTCAGTTGACAAGCAGTATTTTAAACATCTAAAAACCTCTGAAAAATAAAGCCTCAGTAGTGCTGATCTAAACAGACTTTTACCAGATTTCAATCTAGTCACAACTAATCACCACTGCAGAATCCAGGCCTGCATTCAGACAGAGCTAAATGCGAAAACATGCTAAACCAACTAAGATAAGGGTTAAAAGAAAAAGAAAAGCAAGAACAAAAGAACCCAAAACACACAAGTCCACTCCAAAAAGTTATTCCAAAATTAAGACAGCTCTTGCAGCTACTAGGGAAGTCTTTTTGCTCATTGCAAAGTCACATTACTTCATCTCGATCGTTCTGTTTAGTCATTATATTTGGTCTGAGCAGAGAGCTATACCAAAACTTTTATTTGGTATCCTCACAATAGTTATTCTTCCAGTTCAGTACCTAGAAACTACCATGCCTAGAATAAAATCTCTGGTAGAAACACAGCAATTAAGAATCCCCTTAAGTTCCTAGTGCTGTGGAAATGAAGTTTTGCATCAAGCACAGTATGTAACTTTCTCACCCTCAATTCTTTTATTACCAGCTTTTCCCCAGTATCCCTACACCATACACCCACCGACACTTGAGGCCCTACTGAACAGCAGACAAAATCTCTAAGGGCTCAACTGCCCATGGAGTTCACCAGCAATCAACTTAAGAGTTGATTACATTAAGAAAGTGCTTTGAAAAAACAAACAAAAAACTTAGATGCTGTCAACTAAGAGCTAAAGTAATTCTTGTTAAGTGAGACAACTTATCCCACCCAAACCTGCAGCAGTTGTTCCCGCTGCAAACTTACTAGCTGAATTAGGGTACTGAGATAGAGTTACAGAGATGTTTTTGGACACATAAGAAAAAGCCTACGTGGCACATTACAAAAAAATAAACTGCCTTAAAGAGCAATATGCTGTCAGTTCAACAGTTTCATAAAACTATCAACAGCATTATGAGGTTATCACCAACACCGCAGCTGCTAAGCAAACTACTTCATCCCAACACTATCTTTAGCCTCTTAAGGTTTTTTGAACTCATTCCCAGTAATTTGTTATTGGTCTTCTGAACAGAAAATAGAATCAGCCAAGCCATACAGGGAGATGAGGTCTGTCTACAATTACTAATTTTCAGTACTGCTCTAACAGTACACCAGCTGTACCACTAGTAATAAAGCCCACAGCTGAAAAATCCACTTACTTAACAGAACAAATGCATCTCTTACATACTGCCTACAGCTATTGGTTTTATCAGCTTTTATTATTCAGGCTTCACAAATGAGTCACGAGAACATGATTATTATATCAGGTCTGAAAGATCACTCCTCAGATAATGGAAGCCAGTGTTTTGATATTCCCATCGTCTCTGATTTGTATTATTAACAATCAGGCAGTCCTAGTGGGAAACTTAAGTAATCCAGCTAGAAGCTAATAGCATCCAGTACTGGCAGTAAACTGGACCCTTTTCTTCACAGCATTCACTTCTTCAGAATATACTAATAATCAGTCCTGTGCCATTACAGCGTGTGTTTATTTTTTATGGACTGAAAAAACGTTTGCCAGTTTATCAAGAAGCACCAAAAAAAGACATGGCATTAAATATTTTAAGTACCTCATATTAAAACAAGTTGAAGCAGACAAAAATATCATTTTACATTTTCTCATTATCTTTAAGGCTGCACATGCAATTCATCCACCTTGTTTAATGTGCAAAGCGTAACATGAAGACTCCTATAATACACAGTTAAAACATTACGCAGTTAGCACGTTGCATTTTGCAAGTAAAACATTATTTGCCAAAAACACATGGGTTAGATTTTGTTTCGTTACCAAAGTTACTCCATCTTCTGCTTTCAAAGACTGCATTCACTGAAGCACTTCAGGCTGTAAAATCCTCAGCACATAAAAGTTCGCTCTTCGCTTGTGCATTAAACACCGTATCCGCGTAATGACAGCCTTGCCACAGCTCTGACGTACACAAGCTCCTCTTCAGGCCAGGAATACACTTCAACACTGAACACAAGCTTAGGGCACTTCTTCCTCGCCCGAGATATGCGCCTGTTGGATTAGGTAAAAGAAAAGGCAGTTCTTACCGGTGACACAGAACTGCCACGGCAAGGAGAGGGGAAACACACAGCGATTCACCCAGAGCGGGGCGGGACGCACAAGCAGCTCTGACGAGCCTCCGAGAAGATAAACACTGCTTTCAAGG